GTCGAAAAAGCACACAGATAACAGCCAGCTGTGAGAAGCGGCAGGGTTGCTCTCTGCCAGAGAAAGGCAGCTGGAGACAGAGAGCCATTTAAAGGGCCACCGCAAATATTTGTAGTGGCAGCCACTTTCTCTGGGCGCCGATGGAGGCAGGGGCAGAGTGGCTAGAGCCACCTAAGGAGAGATTAGGGAGGTGGGCTGTGGGAAGAGAACTGAGAAAGTGGACTGCACAGTCCGGATGCTGATTCACACCCCATTCTGCAGCAGCCATCCTGCTCAGACAGACCACTCCCCACACAGCAGCTACAGCGTGAAGGGACACAATAGCCCCAACCTCAATAGGCTCATCCCCGACCCAGTGTTACTCAGGCCTCAGTACTAAGCACAGAGCAGCAGTCACAGATAGTAGATCCCTGGCTAAAGAGGACTCACAGTGGTCTAGAGACGCCTGAGGAAAGTCTGGCGACAGAGGCATTGGGGAGAGAACTAAAGGAGTAGCCACGGGGTTCATGGTGCTGACTCTTCGCCCATATGGCAGCAGCCAACTAGCTCAGGCAGACCACTCCCTCAAGTAGCAGAAAGGTTAAAGGACACAATACCCAGGATCACAGGAGGGACTCTGCCCGGCCCTGACTGCTGAGGGCAGAGTGACTAGGTACAACTGGAGGAGACAGACACAGACAGTAGATTCCTGGAAGTCTCTTAAAGGCTGCCTAAGGTCAGACAGGGTCAACAGCTGACATCATCAGAGGCATATCCAGAAAAAAGAAAAAAAAAAAAGCAATCTCCTACCGTAGAAGTTCACACCAGGAAGTGTCAAGTCAGGAAGTGACAGTCAGGAAGTCAAGACAGATAAATTTAAGCAGAAGCAAAAAAAAAAAAAAAGAGTCTCACAAATAATAGGAAGAAAAAGAAACACCCCTCAATTGAAGAGAAATGAAGAATCTCCGCAAAGAGAACTAAATGAAATAGAGCCAAGTAAACTATCAGATACTGAGTTCAAAACAACGGTTCTAAGGAAGCTCAGTGAACTCAAAGAAAATTACCAAAATCCACAGGGAAACTATAAGGAAATTATTGCAAACCATATCAGCATAAGAAAAGATATAGAAACTATCAATAAAAGACAAGAGGAAATGAAGAATACAGTTTCTGAATTGAAGAACACAATAGAAAGAGGATCAAATCAGTGAGCTAGAGGACAAGGTAGAAAAAAGTGCCCAGAAATGAAAATGAAAATGAAAAAAGACTCAAAAAGAATGAAGAGGCATTGAGGGAAATGCAGGACAACCTGAAACATAGTAAGAGCAGTATAATAGGGATACCAGAAAGAGAAGAGGAACAAAGTATGGAGAACTTATTTGAAAAAGTCATTATGGAAAACATCCCAAATTGGAGAAGAGAAAAAGTCACACAAGTCCAGGAAGCACAGAGGGTCCCATTCAAGAGGAACCCAATGAGACCCACTCCAAGATACATCATAATTAAAATGGCAAATATCAAAGACAAGCAAAGAAGACAAGTGAAATAAGGAGTTTCCCAAACAAAAGAAAGGCAAAGGATACACCTCCACAAAACCAGCATTGCAAGATATGTTAAAGGGAGTGCTTTAAGAAGATGAAGAAAAAGAGTCTATGAATACCCAGTTCCTTTCACAATCACCAATACTTGATATTACCAATATTTTTTATACCTAGTCATATGATTGTGACAATGATGTGTTCTTTTGTTACTTTATTATTTGTTGAAACTAAACCTGTTTTTGTATATTTCTTGCCTATTTCTATTATTTTTAAAAAGCTTTAAAAGACTTTTTGGTATTCTTTATCCATTTTTTAATTAAAGTTTGTAGAATTTTTTACCTAAAAAAAACTATTAATCCTTTTTTAAATGTGTTGAAAATACTTTCCTATTCTATTACTTATCCTTTAACTTTTTATATGTATATATATTTCTGAATAGTCTTAAATGTTTAATATAGTCATATTGTCAATATTTTACTTTATAGCTTCTGGGTTTGAATATTTTACTTCAGGATAAGAAAAATATTATTTTGTATTTTCTCCTAAAACTCCTTAGATTTTACATATTGATTTTTAACTCACCTGAATATTTCTTGTATAATGTGTGAAATAGGGCTCTATATTTGTTTTATTTCAAGTAAGAGTGGTCCATGCACCTTATTTATTTAAAAAGCCTTATTTTCCCCATTGACTTGAAATATCAATTTAATCATATATTACATTGTTAGACAGCCATATACATTTGTTTCTAGAATACTCATTTTATTTCATTGATCTACTTGGTTATTTCCGTGCTGGTGTCATGTTATTTTAATTGCTGAGACTTTATAATGGATTTAAATGTTTAAATATTTTATAATGGATCTTCACATCTTAAAAAAATAAATAAGATCAATCTGCAACTTAAAAAAAAAGGAAAGAAAGAAGGAACTCCTACCTTTTGTGACAACATGGATGAAACTGGAGAATATTATGCTACGTGAAATAAGCCAGTTGGTGAAAAACAAATACCATATGATCTTACCTATAAGTGGAATCTATTCAACAAAATAAACAAACAAACAAAATAAACTACAGGCATGGAAACACAGAGCAGACTGAAAGTGTCCCGAGGGCATGTGGAAGGAGGACAGTGGTGGAAAGAAGGGGAAGGGACTAGACAAAGAACATGTATAAATGACCGATGGGCATAGACAACAGTGTGGGAATTGACTGTGTGAGCAGGGGGCAGGGTGGGATGGGTGGAGGAGGGTACAGGGGGAAAAATTGAAACAACTGTAATAGAATAAACATGCTTTAAAAATACAAAATTAAAAAAAGAAAATCAATCATTCAATCAATAAACAATAAGTGCTGGGGATGATGTAGAGAAAAGGGCAACCGAATGCACTGTTGGTGGGAATGCAGACTGGTACAGTCACTGTGGAAAACAGTACGGAATTTCCTCAAAAAACTAAAGAGGGAGCTATCTTTGACCCAGCGATCTCACTGCTGGGATTATACCCTAAGAATCCTGAAACACCAATTCCAAAGTACCTATGCACCCCAATGTTCATAGCAGTGTTATTTATAATAGCCAAGTGCTGGAAACAGCCTAAATGCCCATCAATAAATAAGAGAATCAAAACACTGTATTACATTTACACGGTGGAATACTAGGCAGCAGAAAGAAATATGGCACTCCTATTTTTCCTGACGTCATGGATGGAATTGGAGAGTATTATGCTAAGTGAAATAAGCCAGATGGTGAAAGACAAGTACTATATGATCTCACTTCTAAGTGGGAACTAATGAACAAAACAAACAAGCAAAATAGAATCAGAAACATGAATAGAAAGAAAAAACTGACAGGGAACAGAAGGTATGGGGGAGGTGGATAGGGGAAGGGTATAGTTAAAGAACAAATATAAATGACTCAGGGATGTGGACAAAAGGGTGGGGATTGACTGTGGGAGTGGTGGGTGGGAGGGGAAGGAGAGAGCTGTGGGGGAAAATTGGGACCACTGTAATAGAACAACAATAAAAAAAAGAAAAGAAAAATGATGCTCAAGAAACTTAGTGAATACCTCAACAGCATAAAAAAGGTCTGGTCAGTAACAAAGAATGGACTAATTGAAATAAAGAACAATTTACAGGGAATGAACACTAGACTGGACGAAGCCAAGAATTAAATCAGTGATTTTGAACACAAGGAAGGAAACAAACAAACCAAAAAAACCCAATTCAAACAGCAAGAAGTTTAAATAAGAATGCAAAATAATGAGGTGAGTGTAAGGAGCCTCTGTGACAACTTCAAGCATACCAACATTTCCATTATGGAGGTGCTGGAAGAAGAGAATGAGCAAGAAATTGGAAACTTATTTGGAAAAATAATAAAACTTCCCTAACTTGGTGAAGAAAATAGACTTACAAGTCCAGGAAACATGAAAAGTCCCAAACAAGATGAACCCAAAGAGGCCTACATCAAGACACATCATAATTAAAATGCCAAAGGTTAAAGATAAAGAGAGAATCTTAAAAGCTGCAGGAGAAAAGCAGTTAGTTACACATAAGGGAGCTCCCATAAGATAGTCAGCTGATTTCTCAAAAGAAGCTTTGAAGGCTAGGAGGGATTGCAAGAAATATTCAAAGTTATAATAATCAAGCACCTACAACCAAGATTGCTCTACCCAGCATAGCTATCATTTAGCATCAAAGAGCAGATAAAGAGCTTTCCAGACCAAAAAAAAAAAAAAAACCAAACAAAAATAAAGGAATTCATCATCACCAAACAAGTTTTATATGAAATGTTAAACCGTCTTTTTTAAGAAGATCAAAAATATGAACAATAAAATGGCAATAAATGCATATCTATCAACAATTTAATCTGAACAACAAAACTGACTAAGAAGCAGAACTGAAACAGCACCATAAATACAGAGAACGTTTGACAGTTGTTGGATAGCAGGAGCATTAGGGTGTGGGTGAAATACATGAAGGAATTAAAAAAGTACAAATTGGTAGTTACAGAATAGTCATGGGAATGTAAATTACAGCATAGGGACTGGAGTAGTCAAAGAACACATATGCAGGACCTATGGACATGGATAACGGTGTGGGGATTATCTGAGGGAGTGTGGGGGGACTTGCTGGAGGGAGATAAAGTGGAAAAAATTAGAAAAACAAACAGCATAAAGTATAATTAAAAACAAAAGATAACTAAGATTAAGATTAGGCTATCTATAATTTTTCTCAGCTCTAGAACTGTGAAATTTTTAAAATCATTAATTGTTTTCAGTGTACTATAACCACATTAGATGTGTTGCTGGTCTAAAAAAAACAATTCATCTCTTCTAATATCTCAATAAGTTACTGAGGCCAGAAACTTGAGATGAATAATATTTTATAAATTTTTTTTTCACAATTACCAGTGGAACTCATTACTGTGAGACCTTTAGGGATAAACTAGAGAAGGGCTGGGTCCATTGCCGATAGCTTCACCTTTTTGCCAAGATTCACGTTCTCCATCTTTGCCTTCAGCAGCTTCATTTTATTCATAGTTATTGAATTTTCAATTATCTGTTGCCCAGAAGGAGAAGGCTCAATTTCTTCATCTTCATCAGTACATAAATTATATACAGAACCACCACTACAAAAAAAAAAACAAAACAAACAAACCAACAATAATTATGTGCCTGACACCTTCCCAATGACTAAAAATACTGCATGTGCAATAGAAACTATAGATGCTGCTAATGATAAAAAATAAATCCACCTTGCCAATGTGAATTCAAGGCAAATGTCTTTTAAAAATATATTTTAGGAGAAAAAAATAAATGGAGATAAATATCATACTCTAGCCCTACTAAAAGTACTGCTAAGCTTTTCTGATGTCACTATACCATAAATAAAGGTCTTTTGGCTATATAACTCCCACAGAAGCAAAATCCCTTTCCACAAAAATGATCTTATTTCATTTTATCAGCCAAGGCAAACCAGACCACAAGCTGATCAAATCTCCATTATCCAGAATGAAAAAAAAATTGACACTGAAGTCCTGATTTTTATTCATTCTGAGGGGATTCTCACAAAGAAAAAAGGAGGGGGGACTCATACACAAGTGTCACCAGAACATTTTCTGTTCTTGAAGGATAACTACAAAATAATACAGATAACGTAAGAATTTTTGCAGTGTGTTTAGAAATGTAACCACCTAGAATAGCACAGATTTTAAATGAAAAAACTGCAAGTAATTAATGACACAAATTGTTAAATATGTTAAACATTTCAATTATTGATTAATCATCATACTATTTGTTCATATCTTAACATAATTATTATTTGGGGCCTCTTTTCTTTGCATCATGCAACCGTACTTATCACACTGCCTTCGTATTTATACTTAAATGTCTATTTTTCCCTCTTTTTCTACCATATGTATAAGTTGAAAGCAGTTATTTGACTTTTTTATCTTTCTAGTCTTAGCACCTGTCACAATGCTTAGCACATAGTGAAAAATGTTTGCTAAACTGAACACAAATGTTACTGAAATTCAATTGTTTCAATAATGAGAAAAGTAAAGCAGTAAGAGTTTTAAAAAAAAAATTGGCGAATGACTAAAATTTTAAATAGAGCAGAAAAAGAATATGTGTCAATCATTGTAGAAAGTTCACTTATATCTATGTTGGAAGGATAGAGCAGAAAAGACAAAGGACTCATGGATATGGACAACAGTGTGGTGACTCTGGAGTGGAGGGGAGTGAATGGAAGTGGAACAGAGTATAAGGGGGAAAATGGGAATGGAAAAAATACAATGAAAATAAACAAAAAACAAAATTTTAAATGGAACATCTCACCGTAATAAAATTGCCTCACAAAAATAGAACATGAGAACACATAAATATCACTATTGCTCAGTACTGTCAACTTTGGATTTGTAAATATAAGACAAAATTCAGATCTGTATAAGGATATTTATTATACTGTGGATCCTTAAGTAAAGAAAGAATAACTCCTTTTATTTACTTGTATAATAAAAATTAGGGAGTATAAAAATTATATTTTGATATCTCCAACATGATTCAATTTTATATGGCCTTTCATCTCATTATGAAGAAACTGTAAACTCAATGTATGTGTTTCTAGTCTCCAGAAGATAGTTTTATACATTTGTTTTATGTCTTTAAAATTATTCAGTTGAACTGCAAATAGTGTACAGTATTTTCTGAAATAACTATGGTGGGTGTCCTGTACTTAAGTCTTGGCTATGTGGTAATAAATAAATAAATTTTAAAGTCTTGGCTATGTGGTAATAATAAATAAATTTTAAAGTCTTGGCTATGTGGTAATAATAAATTTTAAAACCGCAAAAAAAAAACAAACCCAAAAATAGAACATGAAAATGAGCACTGTGTATGTCCTCCTTGGAGAAGTGTCTGTTCAGGTCCGTTGCCCCTTTTTTAATTGGATTGTTTGTCTTCCTGGTGTGAAGTCATGTGAGTTCTCTATATATTTTGGAGATCAAACCCTTGTCCAAGGTATCATTGGCAAATATGTTTTCCCATAGAGTTGGTCCCCTTTCCATTCTGTTGTTTTTCTTAGCCACGCAGAAGCTTTTTAGTTTGACGTAGTCCCATTTATTTATTCTTTCCTTGTCCTAAGGGATTTATCAGTGAAAATATTTCTCCATAGGATATTTGAAATTTTCCTGCCTTTGTTCTCCTCCAGGACTTCAATGGTGTCTTGACTTATATTTAACTCCAGTTTTTATCCATCTTGAATTTATTTTTATGGTTGGTGTAAGTTGGTGGTCTAGTTTCATTTTTTTGCACATACTTGCCCAGATCTCCCAACACCATATAATGAAGAGGTTATTTTTCTTCATTTTACATTCCTGTCCCCTTTGTTAAATATTAACTGACCACAGAGACATGGGTTTATTTCTGGGCTCTCTATTCTGTTCCATTGGTCTATGTGTCTGTTCTTGTGCCAGTACCAGACTGCGTTGATTACAGTGGCCTTGTCATATACTTTGGTGTCAGGTATTGTGATTTCTCCTACTTTGTTCTTCTTTCTCAAAATTGCTGAAGCTATGAAAAAATGCTCAACATCACTAGCCATTAGAGGGATGCAAATTAAAACCATAATGAGATACTGCTACACAATGGTAAGAATGGGCATCATTAATAAATCAACAAACAAGTGCTGGTGAGGTTGTGGAGAAAAGGGAACCCGAGTACATTGCTGCTGGGAATGCAGACTGGTGCAGCCACTGTGGAAAACAGTTTGGAATTTCTTCAAAAAACTAAAAATGGAACTGCCTTTCAACCCAGCGATTCTACTGCTGGGATTATACCCTAAGAATCCCAAAACACCAATTCAAAAATACCTATGCACCCCAATGTTCATAGCAGCACAATTTACAATAGCCAAGTGTTGGAATCAACCTAAGTGCCCATCAGTAAATGAATGGATCAAAAAATTATCGTACATTTACACAATGGAATACTACACATCAGAAAAAAAGAAGGAACTCCTAGCCTTCATAACAGAAGGATGTAATTGCAGAGCATTATGCTAAGTGAAATAAGCCAGGCAGTGAAAGGCAAATAACATATGATCTCACCTATCAGAGGAACCTAATCAAGAAAACAAACAAATGAGCAAAATAGAGTCACGGACTTGGAAATAAAGAACAAACTTACAGTGCCAGATGGGTTGAGGTAGGGAATAATGAGGGAAAGAAGGGGCAGGGGAGAGCCAAGGAACACGAATAGAGGACTCATAGACACAGGCAATGGCAGGGTGGATTGACTGTGGGAGTCAGGGCAATGGGGTAGGGGAGAGAAATGGGGGAAAATGCGGGACAACTGTAACTAAGCAACAATTTAAAAAAAGCATAAAAATAAAATAAAAAAGAAGCTAAAAAATGAAAATAGACTATAATCAAAATATGTTTCTAAGTGGTTTATTTACTAGCCAAGCAAGAAAATCTGTTCACCAACACAGAATTAATGGAACCATGTGTGATTACAGTACTTGAAATGTGTCCAGAAATAAACAAACTTTTTTAAAGACTACTCCTTTGGCAAGAACAACTTCTCGAACAGTTAACAAAATTGGAAGCAACATCAATAGTTAATTAAAAAATAAGGCAAGTTATTTGGAGTTGTTTTCCTGGCTTTTGATGAGTCAACACAAGTTAATGATACTGTTCAGGTGTTTTTATTTATTTGGGGCATCAATACCAAGTTTGAAGAGATTAAATAGCTAGACACTTTGAAGAGTCTGTATAAAACAACTAAAGAATATTTTTACGCTGTCCTGTGTGGTTCAGTTGGTTGGGCATTGCCCAGGAAACTGAAAGGTCATGGGTTCAATTCCTGGTCAGGGCACATACCTAGGTTGAACTTTTGGTCCCTGGTCAGGACATGTACAAAATGCAACCAATGAACGTTTTCCCCTCACATCAATGTTTCTCTCCCTCCCATTCTCTCTCCCTTCCCCTCTCTCTAAAACCACTAACTATGTACTTGGGTGATGGTTTTAAAAAAGATAAAAATTAAATTAATAAAATTTTACAAGGTACCTCAATTTCTTTTTTATTTTTTTTAATCATTCCGATACGTTTGTCTCCATCTACCCTCCACCATGCTCCACTGCCCAGCCCACCCCACCTCCCCGCCTCATTCTTCGCCACCTTCACTTAGTCCATGTGTCCTTCACATGTGTTTCTTGATCTGACCTTTCCCCTTCCCCTTGCCACGACCACCGCCCTCCCTCCTGTCCCTGTCAGATTCCTCTTTCTTTCAATGTTGCTGGTTATATTCTCCTTCCCTGCTTGTTTGCAGAATAGGTTCCATTTACAGGTGAGATCATATGGTATTTGTCTTTCACCCCCTGGCTTATTTCACTTAGCATAATGCTCTCCAGTTCCATTCATGGATTGCAAAGGGTAGTAGCTCTTTCTTTATTTCTGCTGTGTAGTATTCCATTGTGTAAATGTACCATAGTTTTTTGATCCACTCATTTTTGATCAACTTAGGTTGCTTCCGACACTTGGCTATTATAAATTGTGCTGCTATGAACATTGGGGTGTGTAGGTTCTTTTGAATTGGTGTTTTGGGATTCTTAGGGTACTGTTGCACTGCATGGTGGCTATAGGAGGCCCGCCGCCATGGGGGGAGGGGTGCCACAGAGAGTGCAGCGCTCCCTGAAACCTGAGGGAAACGGGCCGGGGACAGCTGAGGTGGGAGCAGAGCTTTGAAACCCACAGAACCCGTCCCGCGGTTGTCACGGGTGAGGGGGACAAACAAAACATTGCAAACACTTCTCTGCTTGCCGGGAGAGCAGATGGGGGCACTTCTCTCTCACTGGAGAAAGTCGTGACACATCCCTCTAGTGGGGAAGGCCTCGTTGCCCCTTGTTCCAAGGCTTTTATTGAAAATCTTATCAGTGGGTATGTAACAGGAATGCATACGTTATCTCATAACATCAGTATGGTAAGTTTCACAGTGAATATATGATGCTTTTAACAAGACAAGTGACAGGAGTACACTGATTTACATGGATGGGTCCAAGAGGAGACTAGAATCAACAATAGAGACTATAGATAAGGGGAAAGTAGACTTAAAAGTGCCTTAAAGATACAGG